CTGTCCTGGTCTCAACTCTGGGTTGTCAGGGATTTAAATTACTAATAAAATTTGCCAGGTTCCTAGAAATGAGAGCAGCTCCATCCAAAGTGGGGTGAATGCCGTCTCTCCTAATAAGACCAGGTTTTCCCCAGAAAGTTTGCCAATTATTAACAAAACCCACATCGTTTGCTGGACACCACCTGGACAGCCAGCGGTTAAATGATGACATGCGGCTAAACATGTCATCACTGGTCAGATTTGGGAGGGGTCCAGAGAAAACTACGGAGTCCGACATCGTTTTTGCATATTCACACACCGAGGCAATATTAATTTTAGTGACCTCCGATTGGCGTAACCGGGTGTCATTGCCGCCGACGTGAATAACAATCTTACTGAATCTACGTTTAGCTTTAGCCAGCAGTTTTAAATTTGATTCAATGTCGCCCGCTCTGGCCCCAGGGATACATTTGACTATGGCCGCTGGTGTTGCTAACTTCACGTTCCTCAGAATAGAGCTGCCAATAACCAGAGTTTTATCCTCAGCGGGTGTGTCGCTGAGTGGGGAAAAGCGGTTGGAAACGTGAACAGGCTGGTGGTGAGCCGTGGGCTTCTGCTTGGAGCTGTGCTTCTGGCGAACCGTAACCCAACCTCCCGGCTGAACGGGAGTTACCGGAGGACAGTTAGCTGAGGCTAAGGCTATGCTATGTGGCTCCGCACCGGCTACAGGGGGCTGGCTAACTACCGCAGCTACTGAATGGTTTTCCATGGTGCGGAGCCGCGCTTCTAATTCACTAAGCCTCGCCTCCAACGCAGCAAATAAGCTACACTTATTACAATTACCACTGTCGCTAAAGGAGGCAGAGGCATAACTGAACATTTGGCACACCGAGCAAGAAAGAGCAGAGGGAGAAGCCATCGCTAACTGTAAAGCTAATGTAGCTACCAAGGCTAGTAACGTGCCAACACCAGCTAAGAGATTAGCAGGGAAGTCGTAAAAAGGAGGAGAGCTATAAGTGCTTAAACAGAACCAGTGTGGGCTAAGACTTGAAGTAGACGTTAAAGCAACTGAAGTGAGAAAGCAGAAAGCAGGCTAGTAGAATTCACCAGAGCAGTACAGAGACGCTGTCACAGAAACACCGGAAATGACACAACCGCAATACGTCAGCAAGTCAGCACATCCACCTGACGTGGACAGTGAGACCAAGTTGGTGCTGTAAACATTTGTGCCAGTCTCTTGTGGTGAAGAAGAAGCTGAGCCGGAGGGAAAAAGTCTCCATTCACCAGTCCATCCTTGCTCCAGCCATCACCTTAAAGCTTTAGGTAGAGGCCAAAAGAATGAGATCGCAGATACAAGCTGCCAAAATGAGCTTTTTCCGCAGAGTGCTGGGCTGAGGGTGAGGAGCTTGGACATCTGGAGAAAGCATGGGGTAAACCTGCTGCTTATTCGTGTTGAAAGTGGCCAGTTGTGGTGGTTAATGCATCTGATCAGGATGCCTCCTTGGCAGATTAGAGGTGTTCCAGGCATGTCCAAATGGTAGGAGGCCCCGAGGTAGCCACATAGACTGTATAAAAATAACGGACATAGCCACTGTAATGTTTGTTGATTCTCCTTTTGAAGCCTTGTGTTTGGCATTTCTGCCTTTGCCATCTTGGATTTTTGGAGCCAGAAGTAACCATACTTGAAGATTGTGGATCTGTGGAGGAGGGGGATCTGACTCATAGACTTTGGTGAGGCCTTGCAGGAAACCTGTCACTCACAGTGACCATGCTCTTATTAATGCATAGCTTTTAGCCTTAACAAACAATTTTTGCACCAGGCTGTAAACATGTTTATTTCTGCTGTAAATTCTGCTGAAAAGTTGGCATTTTAAAATGGGTTACTATGGGGATTGAACTTTTTGAGCTGGTCTCAGGTGGCCATTAGAGGAACTGCAGTTTTTTGGCACTTCCATGAGGGCTTCATGTTTCAGCCCCAGAGGTAGCTGCTTGGGTGGACCCAGATCACACTGGAGGGATTATATATCTCCAGTGTGTTCAAGTCATGTTTCCATTTTGTCTTTGATATTTTATTTAAAATTTTCAGTGTTCACTTGATTTTTTTGTGCTTTATTGTTGTATGTTTTTCTTTTTCTTGGTGACCAAATTTTTATTGTTTTTTTTTCTGTTTATTTTCATCATGGAAGAAACACCACAACTGAAAAATACAGTATTGACAATACATGCCATATCTACATCTGTACTTGAAGGTATCCACAAAAACATTAAGCATATAGTGTATTTACAGAAATTAGATGAATAGCTATACAAAAATAAATTTGAGCGATACTCAAAATGTTTATATACCTTCACTTATCCTCCTATAATCCAAACAATAGTTTAAACCCTACTCTTTATGATATGATATGATATGATATGATCTCTGGTACTGTTGGAAGGGTGAATCTTTGAAATGGTAAATGGACCTGCATCATTTGTATAGCGCCTTTCTCGTCATCTGACCACTCAAAGCGCTTTTTACACTACGAGTCACATTCACCCATTCACACACACATTTGTGCACTGGTAGCCGAGACTACCATATAAGGTGCCACTTGCTACTCAGTTTTTAACACATTCACAAACTGATGGAAGCATCATTGGGAGCCATTTGGGGTTCAGTATTGCTCAAGGATACTTCGACATGCAGACTGGAGGAGCTGGGATCGAACCATGATCATGCTCTACCTCTGATCCACTGCCGCCCCATAAAATTGATTTTCACCTTTATAATACAGAGACCAAATCTTTTACCACAGTTATTTCAATAACTAATATTATTAGGCAGAGAGGCAAGTTGCAGAGTGTGATTACTGTTGTGAAAAGGGTGCAAATACTACTTACAGGGAATCTCAGCAGGTCTCTGGATCTCATCACCTCATAAAACATATAACTACTTATGACTTATATAAAATACTGCAGTCCCTCCAAGTATAACATCTCTGCGGAGAGACATTGTGCCTGTACCGTCTGAACTTTTTTGTTGTTGTCCTTAACACTTTATTTGTAACAAAGAAGTGTATTGCCATACAAGAAAAAACAAAATTATGCCAGGGGTATTAAAAGTCCATTCATATCGAGTCCTTTCAGAGTTCGAAGAAAGTGCATGTCCTTTAAATTATTAAAAGTCTTTGTACCTTTTTTGTTCTCAGCATCTTCTGGGAAGGTGCCATACTGCTTGAGTTCAACAATAAACCGGTAAAAGCAGGGTTTGGGGTCCGACCATTTTGATTTGTGGATAAATTTACCAAGAATGGTAATAAGCTGAATAATATAGTTAGAATTGCCATCCATCCCCTAGAACACAGAGTATAGTACCACATCTGCATATTAGTGCTATATCGGCATTAAAAAAAACACATGTATAATTAATACTTAACTATTTTTCTAACACTTCTGTAGCTGAGTAAATTTGATGCAAAATTATGAAAGATACTTTTTACACTTTATTAATGATAAATTTTTTGTTTAAAACAGAACAAGCTTTTTCAACTGTGAATCACCCGTGATAGAAGACAATAAGAACTTTGCTGCAGGAGGTGTGACACAGTCCAAAGTATTTCTGATGTGTCTGTTACTGTACCGTTTATTCAGAATATCAATATTTCCAATAAAAATATGCTTAGAGCTGATAATGTTCATTTTCACAATTCTTTAAAACCTGAAGAGAACCTGTGGGGACAGCATAAAAAATAATAGCATATTCTTTTGGTTTAACTGGTACCTTAAATTTCTGAAGAAATTCTGAATATGACAGCAACATATCATTTTTGTTTACCTGTGGACCCACATACAAAATTCCATTGTCAAACTATAAGCAATATAACAGTGATTTGTTTTTATATAGAATATGGGGATTGAAATTGTGCTTAAATACTGATAGCCAGGCTACAATGCCATTCCAATGAAAGTTAGCTTATTTAGTTAGGATCCATCAGGGCAAACTTTTTTTTAATTATCATTTATTCAACAATACAATGTACAAAAAACCCCAAAACGTATAAACGTATAAATGTACAAAAGCTGAAAAATAAATACTTGTAATTTAAATCTATATATGTTTACAATTCTTATCATAAATAAGTAAGAATGGACATTAGAAAAAAAAAACAAAACAAACAAAAAAATAACACCAATAACAGAAGAAAACACACACAAACTGTTCATTTCACATCAGAGGGGTGTCATCAAATATTTTTTTTTATAATATTCTAAAATTCTGTTACCTTTTTTATTGTTGCTCCTAAGAACAAGAGACTTCAGCATTGAGTTAAATTCAATCAAGAAAAGATGGAAAGACAGTTGTGAACCTAAGGATCTCTGTTAATGAATAAAGAAATAAAGAAATCAACAACATAGGTCAGAGACTTGTTGCTCATATCACCACAGTAACAGATTATATCATTAAGAGTACAACAATGAGTGACATTAGTGGTACTGAAAACACGAGAACTTAAATCAGACCAAAATTTCATTGTTATTCTACACTGAAAGAACAAAGGTTTCAATGTTTCATCAGCATGTCTGCAAAAAGAACAAGTGTTAACAACATCCACATATCTGGAAATTATAGATTCCAATAAACTTATTTTACTTTGTTAGGAATACAAAATTTATAAGGTAAAAGCCATGTTTTTTGCCAGATAATCTCTTCCAAATGTGAGTTCCAGTAAAACTTCCCCCTGGGGGTAATTGTATTATTTATTTATTTTTACAACTATGTCTGTTATTACATTTATTGTCAAATACGTCGATACCATTCAACAACAATGTAAATTTCCAGAAGTGATTGCTGATGAAACTTACATAAGAAACCAGACGTTTATTAGGTGAGTAATTACATGTTAATACGACAGGGAGACCATCAATTTCATAAAAATGCGATGGGGGATGAAGAACCACAGGGAATCTGGGTTTGCTCCGTCTGGACAAACTTAAAAGTTCCCCTGAGCCCGGGGTGTGACGTCACTCTCCCAGAATGCATGGCTTCCAGCGCGGCGCCCAGCAGTCCAGGCCCGGACTCTGACAAATATCTACAAAACTTCTTCCAAAATGTCGATATGGAGACGAAACGGAGGCTGGACGGAGCGCTGGACGGAGGCTCAATCGGTAAGTAGCGATGTTATCGTGTCTGGTGAGCTGAACTTGAGTTAAACCCTGCTCGGTAAAATACAGAGGAGTTAGCTCCCGCAAGACAAACTCCGATACAACTTAGTGAACCGCTCATCTTTTGTTTTTTAAGCAGCATGCTGGGTCGGCTTACTATCTAACTTTGTCCACAACCAAACTACCGTTAATCAGTGGGCTCCTTCGACATAGAACTAGCTTAATGCAATTCTAGCTTCCATGCTTAAACCTAATTTCTTCTCCACCGCCGAATTTTGTGAGCACAGACAGGCTAGCAGTCAAATTAGCCCCGGTCTGGTCACGAACGACCCCGTCCCACCACGATCGTTCGATCGTTAACGTTATCAGTTTAGCTTTTGTCCTTTAAGTCTTACGTTAGCTCTTGTCGGCCTGGGTGGAAGTTTATCCGCGCTCCATTTGGTTTCTGTGGGAAAAGCATTTTCGCAGTTGGTATAACACAGCGGAGCAAGTTTAGGCAGAAATGGTTCGGGGATTAGAGCTTTACTGCAGCTCCATGCTGAGGACCCACAAGATGGCACTACCAGCTCCCATCACCTTACCCTTGATGCAGAGTCGTCTTGGAGTCCTTTTATCAAGGATTCACTGACTGGGCTTTTTGTACAATGACATGGGGAACATTCACGGGTGGCATAAGAGTTTCAACTCTGCCCGAGTCAAAGTGGTGGCACTGCGTTAGATGGATGGGCCATTTTAAAGCAGATATAAAAAATAAAAAAAATAAAAAATAAATAAATAAATAAATTAAAGTATCTTCAACAGCTATCAAAAGTAAAGGCATTCATTCCAAAGCGTGGTCCTGTTCACAGCGCTCCATTACTGATGAAAGCTGTGGTCCAGTTCATGGCAGGCAGAAATACTGGACGTACACCCTGGAGTACTTTGAAATAGGCAACATGTTAATTTAATGAACTTGGTCTGTATTTTGCCCCTCAAATCAATTGCATTTCCATTAGGGCTTTAAGATATCAGGAAAATATGCTATAAATTGTGATGACAATGTGACTCACAATTAATAAGAAGCTACTTAAGTATACAGTTTTATTGTCTGTCTGCTTGAGGTTGGCATTGCTAATAAAGACCCCAGACAATTTATGCAGACTAAATTATAAAAAGGAATGCAGTGATGTTGACAGGCAGGGTCCAAAACTAACTTTTTCACTTACCAGCCAGGCTGGGCGGTATACTGGTTCGTACCAAAAAACGGTATTTATTTTCGTTATGATATGAATTTTTCATATACCACAATACCGGTGAATAGCCCAAACAACGTCTGGAACGTGCGCGGCGGGAAAGTGTTTCAGCGGGGACCCATTTCACCCCTGCACACCACAGGCGCGCTTGAGCGGCCGAGAGTGAGAGCATATAGAAACGTTTAGAGGCGAGAATGGCTGCCAAGAGAGTCCTGAAAGCAAAGCAACTGTACACGATGACCCAGAAGAACTCATACCAAAAAGAGCAGTGTTTCCCCTATATGCAACTAGCAGCAGCGCACCGACGTTTACAATTCTCCTCTGCTCTCTGTATCGCACACGGCGGAGTTTTGCCCTGATGCGCGCACACACCCACACACACACACACACAGACAAAGCGCACACACACAGGTGAGCACACTAGAGCACGGCTCGAGCCGCATTTTCCTGACCGAAGACGACCCTTCCCGAGTCTGAGACAGTTATAACCGAGCACAGCAGTAATGGAGCGGAGCGTGTGTTGTGTTCAGGCATTGTCAGGTAAATAACAAATTCCGGCACTTGAATAGGCCATAGCACAACACAGCAGCATGTCAAGTTGGCCGAACCTGAGCAAAATACCGTGAAATACTGTGAAACCGATATGATTTTTTCTTAAAACCGTGATATGAACATTTTGTCATACCGCCCAGCCCTAATATGTATTCCCAGCTTTGTTACAAAAATCTTTTTCAGTATCTACTGTAAATTTTCTTAAGGCCCCCACAGCGTACTATAAGCGGAGCGGACTCCGCAAGGAATGTCTGCAGTCATTCGGGCTTCCATAGTCGAGGGCGCTTCCACGTTGTAGATTCCTGTAAAAATGTCAGTGAAAAATCCCTGCGATGTGAAAAATACATGCCGAGCAGTCTTTTGTGTGACACTGGAGTGCGGAGCAGAGTCTGCATGGTCATAAAATCTGAGCTTTGTGCGCATAGGGCTTGCGGGCGTCCACTTTTAGTCCGGGTGGACCTCCGCGGAGTCCGCTCCGCGTACGTTCCGCCCGAGTATGTTTGGGCCTTTATTGGCTCGTTTTAGAGTTGAGAATCCTTTTTAAAATCAAAATCGTTGCCCTCGGAATCGGAATTGAATCGAATTGTGAGGTGCCTAGAGATTCCCACCCCTACATGTTGCTGATCAGGTGTATTGATAAAATATTGACTTTTTCCTCGAGCAGGTTTTAATGCACTCACAGTAACAAGCATAGTTGTCACCTCTCTGTCTCCACCGCAGCATCTCTACTCCGTGATTGTGTGTGTGTGTGTGTGTGTGTGTGTGTGTAAAAGTGGCGCAGCAGCCAGGACGCACAGACAGCAGGAGTGGAGGCTGCAATGCGAAAATAAATTACACCCAAATGTAAAAAAAGTACAGTTACAGATAAAAGAGCCGGTAACATCGGAGCTTCTCAATACTACGGTCATTCATAATTTAGCGCCGCGGCTCGTTTACTACCGGCGAGATTAACAGGGTTAAAGCTTCACACATCTGTGGGAAAAATATTGAAAGATCGATCTCGGATTCTACGACTTGATATCGGGTCATTCCAGTGAAGATAGATTTGAATCGGATGAATCGATTATTTTAACCCAGCCCTGACCACAAGTGGTCATTTGAGTTGGTCCCTAATAAAATTGGTGGTTTCTAGGTCTGACGCTATACGCGATGAATCGGTTAATTGCACGGTAAATTTAAAGGGGGACGTTAACTTTTCTGGCTGCGATTAATTGCCATATTCATGCCTGTTTGTTTTCCTCGTCTCTCCACCAAAGAGACTAGACGACAAGAGCGTTCACTGCCGTGCATTGTCTGGCAGCCAGGTGAGTTGGTTCATCAGCGTAATGAACGGAGGGAAAGCTCTTGTTATCGAGTGTCTTTGTCTCTGTGGGGGAGGCGGGGCTATGGGCTACACACACACACACATACAGTGCGATCGTCGTGAGGGGGAGAGGAGGCGGAGAAAAAAACAGAGTTGAGTGTAAGAGAAAGACAGGGACCTTGTTACTAAACCAAATGCCACGGCCCCTGTTTAGAAGTATTTTGGATTTAAACCATATGACAGATGTGCAATAGATGTCGTACAGAACAGATCAACATAATAAACTGATAGTAATCTGTATGAGAGAGAGAGAGAGAGAACATGAAAAGATGAAAATGGGAAGAGAGGGAGCAGGTAATACATTACCGCAGGATTAGCAGAGAGAGTTGGTGATGAGTTTGTGTCCGCTGGATATTTTCATGCAGAAATGTGCATGTGAATATATATAGTCCGTTGTCCATACAGCCACGACATTTTAAAATTGAGAGACTGCAGCATTTAGTCAGCCTCCTGTTGCGGTGGTCCAAAGTCATGCTCTGCATAATCCTGAGCCTCCTTTGGGTCAGTGAATGATTTCACATTTCCATGTGTCACCATCAGTCTGGCTGGATATATCAGTCCCTATCTGACATCTGGTCGCCCTCGTAGCATCTCTGTAACTTTAGTGAAAGCAGCTCTCCACTTAACCACTGAGGGAGGAAAGTCTGGGAGTAGGTGTATGTTCAGTCCCTGGTATTGCAGCTTCTTTTTCTCCATGGCCCGCCGTAATATTTCCTTGCGAACATGATAGTAATGTAACCTCAGGATGAAGGGTCGTGGTGGGTCTCCTGGTTGGGGTTTCTGGCGGTTAATCCTGTGCGCTCAGTCTATCAAGGGTTTCTCCTCCAGAGATAGTGTTTCAGCTAGGAGCTGGGAGATGAAGGGCCTGTCCCATTATGCACGCTTGATCACACTTACGCACTTGGACACTTGATGTGCGCGTCCAAGTGCACAAGTGTATCCCATTTCTACTCCGACCAAAAGTGCAGTGCGCTTGATTTGTACTTTACCCACACTTACGGTAAGACCGCACCTGAGCAATATTTGGGTAGTATAAATCCCACAATGCATCACCAGCTGGTGGAGTTCCACCAACAAACTAAAGAAGAAGGAGAAGCTGGTGAAGTCTGCCCACTATAGTTCACTGAGTCTGCCATCATCGGGATTTCGACTGAGATGCCACCAAAGAAATTTCAATGTAAGAAAAATGTTTTATAAATGCAACCTCATATCATAGTCCCGTTCGTATCATAGCGTCATGATGGTACATGTTAGGGAGCTTTGTTAATGTGTCTGTGGTGAGGAAATTCACATCAAGCTTTGACCTGGAATTATCAACTAGCAACAGAATTTATCAGAAATGGGGACCATGGAACAAACGTTCCAATTCATTAAGTTAAGAATGGAAAACGATTACCTCTTTACCGGGGCTAAAAATACTGCAGCTGATGGATACAGGTGAGTAGTTTGCTCCGTCATTTCTTTTGATTGATGTCTTTATTTCGAACATGACAAACATTACAAAACAGTAGTTAACTTATTTAATCCTACCCCTTTTATTCACTAATTAATAATCTCTAACTTTTCTTTAGATATCCAACGTAGTGTTATATATGCCAGCATATTAATTGACTTCCTTAAATGCATGTAATGGAAATATTAAATGAGCGGATATTCTTTACCGTTACTGCCATAAGAGTGATGTGGTCAGGAATGATGCTCTTGCATTAGCCATCTTTGAAGAAGGAACAGAAACTGTTTCCTGTTTAGACCATATGTGTACTGAAGTAAGTGAAAAAATAAGTGGAAAAAACCCCCAACTAAATAAATAAATAACGGTCAAAATAACAATAATGGCCTTGATGTCAACATTTTAT